TATATTATATTATATTATATTATATTATATTATATTATATTATATTATATTATATTATATTATATTATACTATACTATACTATATTATACTATACTATGCTATACTATATTATACTATATTATACTATACTATGCTATATACTATATTATACTATATTATATATAATATTTGATATAATTAAATACAATATATTTAAATAATTTACGCTGATCTATCACATCCTCTTAATTCTATTTGCATTCACAAAACGTAATTATATCGACAAAGTAATCGTTGTCGTACGACTTAACGTAACTCAAATAAAATTCTCTAACTTGATAACTGCAAAACCCGGCACATAACTAACGAAACGTCGTCTTTATGATTCCAGGCAATGAACTGATGTGCGACTGCAAACTGGCATGGATGTGGGGTATGAGGAACGAGACGAAGAACACGAACCTGCGGCTCGCCCTGGAGAAGCTCACTTGCTTCCTGGAGAGCAATAACGCATCGCAGAAGATCAACAGCGCGGACCTCGAAAGGAACGAGGCTCTCGAGATTGCACGAAATCCAAGTGGGTTGTTCTGCTTACACCGGGCTCCCCCGTTTGTCCCGTCTCCTTTGCGTCCCGGCCACCCGTTAAACTTTCTTGCCCCATTGTTACGGGAACATCCGGGGGCTGAAATTTCCGCGCGACCTGCCACTCTTTCGCAAACAACATCGCGAACGCCGTCTTCCGCCGTTCGGTGTTTCCGGTCGACGGAGCCAAAGAAACCCGGATTTCTGATCGTATCGAACGCGCGCGTGCTCACTTCAGTCGACTTATCTTCGCCGACGTGTCTTCACTTTTGCCGTTTGATGCGCAGTCAATTCCATTCGAAACATCGTTTCGTCGATACAGCGTGTCCCAGCTTTAAAAAAAGGCTACCTAAATATCTCGGTTATTTTTGGAGATATCGAAAAACTTTTTCAACAGAAATTGTTCAGTTTTAGGAGAACTATAATATGGCGGTAATCATTTGTATCCGGTTCGAGACATTTCGGAGGCATCGAGGTCGCCATCAGTTTTTTAAATTAGAATCGTATATTTTTTATACGTCAGTTGGTGCAGCTTGATATTTTGTATCAAAAAGTATTGATCTACTTACGTCGGAAAATTAATAGTTTGACAGATATTTTGCGATGAAGGTATATTTGAGGTATACAATTGTTGATAAATTGGTGCGAAACCCCGCGAAAATATAGTCCGTCCCAAAATTATTGTACAAGCGAGAAATAATAGGTAACCGAGATCATTTGAAGCAACTTTTTCCTTTGCAAAAATTTTCTCCGAGGCTTCGTTCACGAGTTATCAGCGAAAAACAATTACCAACGAGAGATCGCGTGCGGCTGACGCCACGCCCTCGTGACCCCCGCCGCTGCGCCGGACGGCCGGCGCGTCGCGGCATTGGTCGCAGGATGGCGCGCCGGCCGCGCTCGCTCTCCGATTGGTCCACGTTTTTCGCTAATAACTCGTAAACGAAGCCTCGGATCGCATTTTCGCAAAGGAAAAAGTTGCTCCAAATGATCCGACGAATACTTCTCTCGCTTACATAATAATTTTGGGACACCCTGTGTAAACGATATGTAACAGAGTCGCGAAGCGTAAATCGTTGATCCATTAAAGTCCATCGGCGGCGTAAATGACTGGTCCATCACTTCGTTTCAATTTCACTGTTTTTACCGGCGGATGCCATTTGTTATTATTACAGTGGAAGACGTAAAAATTTGATATGCGTATATCGGAGCGTTCTATTTCACAGTTATCAACGCCGAATCCGTGCACGAAAGCCGGCTGCCGTTTCACAGAAATAAAATTTCAATTAAATGTCAAAACGTGTTACAGATCGTTGTTACACAATGTTGCTGTTGATTAATTTGCACCGTTGAATTTTGTTACGCGTAGATTGATAAACAATCAGTTTTCATTTTATCTTTTTCATTTACAGCTTAACCTTTCAAGCTTCAAAAATGCTTTTTAAGCTGCCACCAATACATTTAGAAAATTGAACCGATATTTGATAATTGATTTGCAGAAAAATCAACGTTGAAATA